CTCTTCTCCATCCACGTGCCTGTTGGCAGTCTACTCTGACAGACCCAGCTGCCGAGCCTAGGAGGGTAGCAGTAGCAGGTGCAGCTCCTCAACAGAGGATCTTGACCCAAAGAGTAAGAAGACGCGGCACCCCCTTCCCGAGGGGGAACCACAGCCCTCGAGGCTGGCCACCCTCAGAAGGAGCATGACCAGAAATAGGGCTGAGCTGACAGCCAGAGAGCCACAAGTAAGAGACTCAGCATGAGCCTGGGCGTCATGCTCCGCCCAAGGGGCCACAACCCCCTCACACACACATGGTTGTTGCCCTTCAACCCAGCCTGTTCCAAGAGGAGCCCTGGGGGCGGAGACCCCATGATGGGCAGAAATCTCCTCTAATCCCCGGGGGCAGCTGCATCCAGCAAACTGCCAACCAGCTCACGAAAGAGGGCTTTCTGCATCCACAGCTCCTCTGATAATCAGCCCTCAGATGACCACAGCCTGGATTCAGAACAAACTCAATTAGGCATGCTAGAGGGGAGGGCAAGCGTTCTCAGACACTGTGGCCTTTCTAACCCCCGGCTGGGAGCAGATGGGTTGATTTTCTCCAAGGCTTGATTATTCTCACTTAGATGGTCTGTCTTGGAATTAACTATGGCCACACCACTTGCTGGACATGGGTTGGGCAGAACAAGGGGGAACCAAGTTGGCGGGGGAGCAGAGAGGCCATGCCCTGGGTCTGCTCCTAGAAAAGCCCCTTCCAGATTCCTGAAAACAGATGCACACAGGCCACATGCTCATGGCTGGAGCTTGATGCAGCCTGAAAGACTAGGCGGGCCCTGAGCACCTGCTGGAAGCTCACATCGGCATGGGAATGGGATGGGAGTGGAAAATGTCCCATTGACAGCATCACTCCCTCCTGGCCTCCTCCTAATGCCAGGGGACCATGACATCTCAGAAGACTCAGGGACAAAGTCCTACCCTTCTCCAAGTGGGCAGAGGCTGTTGTCACAGCTTATAAATTGGACTGGACCACCAGCAGCTTCCTCTCTGCTGAGGAGAAAACCGCCCACCCGGGACATGATTTCTCCAGGGACCAGTGGGCTTGATCAGGTCTCAAGTTCTTCAAGGCCAACTCATTATCTTCAGGAAGGACAGAAAGCTGGAAGAAGAGCAATTCACTCAGCAAACGCTGTCCTTGCCGCAGAGACTTCCGGAGTCCCACTGGAAGTCTTCTTGGAGCCTTGACCTGGTGAGGGGAGTGGCCATTTGAGCCGGTGGACCGCCAGAGCCAGCTGGCCTGAGCAGTGACCAGCAGGCACCCAATTCACGCCTGATGAGGACGAAAGCACACAACTAGTGCTCAGAGTCTCTTCCGACTGCTGGTCAGTGCCAAGGGTAGCCAGCTCGGAGTTTCAGTCTTCATCCTCACCCTCCTGTCAGTCACTCCACGCTAAGCTTTCTATTTCTGCATCTTTGACATGATCTTTACTCCTGAATACCCCAACCACATGACCTAAACGTACTCCTTCATTATAGGAAACACTCCACTAATTTCTGCTCTCCATTAAAATACCATATGCCTTTCTCCTCAGTAGACATGACTGCAGCAAAATCAGCCTCCAATGCCCCCAGCAGGACGCCTACAGGAGCCCAGCCTCTCTTCAACAGATGCCTGGAGACCCCCACACACAAGGAGCCCTGTACACCTGTGGTTCCTCCTTAGAGAAGGGAATCTCAACAAAAACCACACATCGTAACCACTCGGGAAATGCAAATAACCACGATGAAATCCCACTCCACCCCCATTGGGATCGCTACTATTAAAAAAACAAACAGAAAAAGAACATAAGTGTTTGTGAGGATGTGGAGAAACTGGAACCCTTGTGCACTATTGGTGGGAATGTAAAATGGTGCCACTGCTGTGGAAAACAGTAAAGCAGTTCCTCAAAAAGTTCAACACAGAATTACCATAAGACCCAGCAATTTGATTTCTAGGGGAAAGAGCTGGAACACGGACTCTAAGAGATATCTGTATGCCCTTATTCATAGCAGCACTATTCACAATAGCTAAAACATGGAAGCACCCACCTGTCCATCGAAGGATAAATGGATCAACAAAATGTTGTATTAGCCGGGCGTGGCGGGCAACAGAGTGAGACTCCAACTCGAAAAAAAAAAAAATGTTCTGTATACAGACAGTAGGACAGCACCCACCCTTAAAAATGAAGGGAATTATGACATGTGTTCCTACATGATAAATCGGAAGGACGCTGTGCTAAGCGAAATAAGCCAGGTGCACAAGACAAACACTATAGGAATCCACTTAAATAAGTGCAATGGACTGCATGTTGGTGTCTACTCTCCGATTCATATGATGAAATCCTAACCCCTGATGGGATGGTATTAGAAGGTGAGCAGATGATTAGGTCATGAGGGTGGAGCCTCATGAATGGGATTAATGCCCGCACAAGGGGCCCCTACAGAGCTCTCTCTCTTTCTTGCCACCACATGAGGACAAAGCAAGAAGATGTCATCTGTGTCAGGAAGAGCTCCTCCACCAGTCACTGAATTTGCCTTGATGTTGGATTTTCCAGTCTCCAGAACTGTGAGGAATATATGTTTGTGGTTTAAGCCACCCAGTCTACAGTATTTTTACTGTAGGGACCTGGACAGACTTAGACAATAAGGTACCTATAATAGTCAAATCCATAGAGTCAGAAAGTAGAAGGATGGTTGCCAGGTGCTGGGGTAGGGGGAGTGAAAGTTTAATGAGTAGAGTTTCAGTTGTGCAAGATGAAAAAGTTCTCGAGAGCCGTTATACAACAATGTGAATATACTCAGTGCCCCAGAAATGTAGAAATAGTTAAGATGGTAAATTTTATGCTATGTGTAATTCACCCCAAGTTTTAAAAAATTGAAAACAGAAAAGTCAAGGACCAGATACAAGTTTGAATAATACATGTCCAGGAACGGTGGCCCCAGAGGGTAGAACAGTCATATGTTAAAGGGTCATTTGGCTGGGAACAGAGACACCAGACACCTAGCTACCACTCCTGATCGGGCAGGCAACCAGGAGTTGTTTTCACAGGTGGTTCACATGCCAGTCTCTGATAGGGCTCGGGCACAGGATAAGCCTGTGCTTGCCTCCTCCGGCAGGAAAACAGGGACAGCACTGGGACCCCCGCTGCCACAGCCCACCAGAACCAGGGCCACGTGTGGACAGAGACAAGAGCATCCCAGCCGTACACGTTCAGAATTGCCTTCTGGGCCCTCATCCTTCTTGCCATGGGTCACCGTCGGGCTACCAAAGGAGCTGGAAGGACCAGAGCCAGGTCTGTGACAGGCCTCACCTCCCCACATTGCCAGACACCCACCCAGCAACTCAGACTTGAGTCTCCTGGTGGCCTCATTAGGGAACAGAAAGGAGCCCTCCAATTGCATCACTAACTTGCATCTGAAAATGAAAGCTGGTGGCTTCCTTTCGTCAGCCCTATTCTGCAAAGGCACATTTTCTGGCTGGCCAGCTTCTTAAAAGCCAAGAACTAGTCAGGGGAGTGGAAGCCTGGGGCTCTGCCGGCACAGGTAGGGTTCGGGCTGCCCAGCCATGCTCACGAGGGGCACAGCCCACCCCTGGCAGGAGGTCAGCAGAGGCAGGGGCAGCAGTGGGAAGAGGTGGGGGGTGGAAGCAGGGCCCCAGGAAACAGCACCTGCATCTGCCAGCCTTGCCCACACCAGGGTGGGTCTTTGCCCCTCAGAGCCCCCCACCAGCCTGGTCCTCTCAAGATGTGCCAGGCCTCATGTCCCTCCTGGGACCTGATTTCTGAGTGCCTGGTGACCCCCAGGGTCTTCCTGTCTCAGCCACTCCTCCGGAACCTGGTCACAGCTGCTGTCCTCCGCTGCCTGAGGGGCAGTCCCCCCAAACCCATCCTGCTTGCCCCTCATGCAACCCTATGGCCCTGGGGAACAGAACTTAGGCTCAGCCGGGAGGACAGGAGGGGGGCAGAGGCCGTTCCAACAGGCCTCGGCATCTCTGACAAACTCCACAAACTTTAGCAACTCACCTCTAAGGTCAACCATCTTCACTGTTCACAAAATGGCACGGGTCCATTGGCACCTCCTGACATGAAGAGATGTTGAAAACGCTCTCCCCTAATTTGTGCAAAGGGGTTCATTTGCTCTTATTTACAATTGCCCCAGGCCTTGGGTAACCCAACACAGCGATCGATTGTGATACAATGAAATGGAGGCAATTAATCGCACTCAAATACCCTGCATATTATGCTCTGGGAGCATGGCAATCCCTTTAAAAAGGGCTTACGGAGCTTAAATAGACACAGTGTCCAGACAGCTGTACAGCCAGGAGCAGCAAGGGAGGCAGAGCCCATCTGCCAAGTCTCCCGGGACAGCTGAAAAGAACTGTCCATTCAGAAGTGATTCATCTACAACAGAGCCCTCCGCAGAAGCCGGAGGGCTAATTCCAACCTTTTCAGAGCACTCGTTAAGCCTCTTTGAGTTATAATTACCATCAATCTCTAGATATTACAAGGCAACAATCAGGAAGTTAGATCGGTCCAGAGAACACAAAAGGCAAGTGAAGAAACTGCTCTACTGTGAGGCTGGCCATGCAGGCCTGTTTGGAGGATGTGAGCAGCATAGCCGCTGACAGCGATGGGGACAAGGACAAGTTGAGGATATATGCTTGGCCGTCCATCCTTGGCCCTCTGTGCATCCTTGAGGAACAGGTGCAGGTGCAGCCTGGCCCCTGGGCTGCAGGTTAGCTGAATCTGCCATCCTGGCCTTTGAGTGTCACAGAGACCCCTGGACCTGGGGCATGAGCTATACCACACCAAGTCCAGTCTGATGCCTAGCACCACCAGCCTGCCCGTGGGAGGAGGGCCACACCCTCACCAACAGGCCCGGAGCCCATGCCGGACGAGGCCAGCTTCTCCTGAGGATGGGAGTGGGTGGGCTAAGGGAAGGCTCGTCAGCACCACGGTCCTGCCCATCAGGCCCCGCCTTACCTTGCCAAAGCTGCCTTTCCCGATGGCTCGCAGGATCTGGAAGTGGTCGAAGTTCACTGCGGAATAAAACAGAGGGACGCCCGGTGAGATGGCAGAAAGGCCCTGCGCCAGCATGGCCCCCGCCAGGAGCAGCTCCACCCTGCATCCCCCCTGCTGCCCACCCAGGGCCAGAAAGAAGGTCTGCTGTGGGGTGGCTCACGGATGAACTCAGGCTCGTGTGCAGAGCAGAAGGGGTGGCCCAGGAGGCGATATGGGCCTGGATGCCATTTCACGGCCTCTTCTCAGGATCCTGAGAGCACGACATGACCCAGCCCACAGAAGGGACAGGGCATGAACAAACCACATGGCACCTGGAGTGTCAGCCCCAGCTAGGCTTCAGTCCCAGGCACTGGCCACCCCCCACTGAAAGCTGCCTCCAACCAGCAAAGACCCAGGGTCTCAGGACAGCTGTGCACACGCCAGCAGCAGCCCAGCCAGGCCACAGTCTTAGGAGCAGACTCCTCCTTCACCTTGCTCTGAGTCTCCAGGGAAAAGGGGGTCATTGGCCTTGCTGGAGTCCACTGGACAATCCTGGGGGAGTCTGCAAACAGCCCAAGGTTAATAATGGAGGGGTGAGGCCCAGGACTGTGGCTGCATCAGTCAAAGACACGGGGTGGTCCAGGAGCACCTGCACCCAGCATAAGGAACATCCCACAGGCCTGTGTGAAACCACAGAAGCCACTGTTTCTCATGACAGTGGGCCCCGTTAAGGGAAAGATGTTCCCTCTAATTGTGACAGGCCTCTTGAGAGATGCTCCCATGAGACAAACCCATACTGAGAGGGATTCTGACTTGCTGTCCAGACCTCCTCTGCGCATGTTCTGAACCGAAGACTTCTCCTTAGGCATAAGCAGGGCGTGTCACAATGTCACCCACAGGTCTCCAGGGATGGGCTTCCTCCAGCTGACTCCCAGACCAGCAGCTGGCCCTACCTGTGCACCCCAGGCCTGTGTCCTCAGGTCTGTGCCCCCAGCCTGCACTCCAGGCCTGTGCCCCCGGGTCTGTACTCCCAGGCCTGAGCCCTAGGTCTGTGCCCCCAGGTCTACACCCCAGGTCTGTACCACCGGGCCTGTACCCCCAAGTCTGTGCCTCCAATCCTGCACCCCCAACACTATGCTGCCAGGTACATACCCCCAGTGCCCCATGAAGGCCTACATGTGGCTCTTAGTCTCTGCTGTATGGCCATGCTCCCCGGAGCAAGATTTCGCACGCCCATGGGTTTATAACATTTTACGGATTTATCCATTTATATTTTATCCTCATAGCCCCTTGTTCCCTAGGGAATTCAGGGACCGGGGGAACTCCTCCCCCAGTCCACTGGCTATCTTCGTGGCAGAGGGAACACAGCCAAGACCTGGGGCAGACTCGAGGAGACGCTGGGGGTGGGTGCTGGCCACTTGGGAAGCTGCAGGCCAGAGTCTTGTCTTTATTGCTCGCTGGTGGCCTCTGCTGTGCCATCGTGTGGGATAATGACAGGCCTTCTGCTTTAGGCATACAGCGTGTGGAGGAAGGAATGGAACAGCTTCTGCGCAAAAGACGGATTTGCATTTCCACCCAAACGGCACAATGGCCACTCCCTTCCCCGGATACTCTACCACTCTCTGGTCCTTGCCAACATCGGGGTTTGGGATTGAGTCCAACAGGCAAAGCGTTCGTTCTCAGGGATCTGGGAGCAGAATCGCACCCAGAGGTCTTTTAGCCTGAGCTGGCGGGTGTGAGGCCAGGGACCTGAGGAGGATTCGGGACCTGGCACAGGACAGCACTGGTGCGAAGGTGCAGGAACAGGCCCTGGGGAGAGGAAACCTGGGCACTGGCCAGGTGCAGAAAGAGGGGGGTGCCAGGGGAGAGACCAGCTGAACACAGGCAGGGAAAGGACCAATCCCCAGCCCGTGTCCACAGGCTACGGATGGACCCATAGCTGGTCAGCGTGTGAAGGATGGGAAGTGGTCAGCAGAGGCCTGGGGGGTGGGGAAATGAAGCTATGGGATGATCAGGGCCAGGGTCTTGGTGGTTTCCTCCACACAGGAGGGAGGTTGGGCTTGACTCTGCAGGGTGGGGGAGCGCCGTTATTTAACACCTTAGAAAGGCCAGGTGTGGTGGCTCACATCTGTAATTCTAGCATTCTGGGAGGCCAAGAGGAGAGGATTGCTTGAGTTCAGGAGTTTGAGACCAGCCTGGGCAATATAACAAGACCTAGTCTCTACAAAGAAAAAAACAAACCAAAGATTCGCCAGGTGTGGCAGCACACACCTGTAGTCCCAGCTACTCAGGAGGATTTCCTGATCCCAGAAGGTAAAGGCTGTATTCAGCTGTGATCGTGCCCCTGCACTCCAGCCTGGATGACAAGTGAGACTCCAACTCAAAAAGAAAACAAAAAAAAGGTACTCCCTGCCGCACATGTGGGAGCAGGGGTGCAGATGAGCACAGGGCAGGGGACAGGACCTGCTTGACTGAGGGGGTGGCACTTTGAGGGGTGAAGGAGGAGGGGTGGAGAAGGCCACTGGGCATCTGGAGTGGTGACTTGGTCTGGGAGGCCTCAGAGGACAGGCCACATTGCACACGGGGAATCACAGCTGACACACCCTGGCACAGCCCCTGAGAGCCCCAGCTCCAGGCAGGTGGCACCCCCACACTGTGTGGCAGTCTCCATCCTCAGGAAAACTTAAACGTGCCCAAACAGAGATTCTGTCGTCGAGGTGGATGGAGGCGGGGGCACAGTCAAAGTCACACCAGGCGCCCGCGCCCGCCCCCCGAGGCCAGAGAGCACCACCGCTATTGGCCTCGGTTCCTGACTCAGCTCCAAATCAGTCCTTGTGAGGGGGCAAAAATGGGGATGTGGAGAGAAAGTGAGAGAGTGGCTGGGCTATGCAGGGGAGGTGGGAATACAGACACCGTCCAGCAGTGAGACCCTAGCACAGAGCCCACCTTCCTGAGCCTGGTGTCCTTGCCTCCGGTGAGGCCAGAGCATGGGCAGAGCAGCTCCCTTCCTGCCCTGGAGGGCACGGCCCACAGGGAGCCACCTGCTGTGGGCAGAGGCAAGGAAGCAGGAAGGAAGGTGCCGGGGCAAAGGCGCTGAGGGTCTTTCTGAGCTGACTTGCTGGCTCCACCCTTGTAGATCTGAGCTAGTGCTGACTGGCTACCTCGGTGCCCAGGGTCCCTCGTTTGGAAAGCAGCGCTGAGGCACCAGGCCTGGGCAGAGGCAGCAGCATCTGGCAGTGCACTGGCTCGAAGCGGACCTTGGGGTCTGCGTGTGTCCTGTATGGTGGCGAGGAGAGAGCGGGGTGGTGAGGAGGGGCACGGGGCTGGGCCGGCCATAGTGCAGCCTGGGGAGATGGGCTCTGCCCAGGGACTGTCCGCCCACCCCGGCTCCACCCAGGCCTTGGCTACCACTGCCCAGAGGCCCCTGAGCTCCTTCCTGGAGTGCCCATCAGAAGCAGAAGGGCCCTGGCACGCACACAAGCCTGTTGACCCGAGAGAGTTGAGGAAGAAGGGTGGTGTCCCGCGCCCATCCCTAGAACTGCTGCATCGAGTCGGCCATGCCCGGCCCTGGCTGTCGCCCAGTCCAGCACCGTCCTGGAAAAGGCAGCCGGCGTCTTCTTGCCCACGGATGCTCCCTGTGGCACCCTCCCCATGGACCTGGAGCCGCCGGCCCGGCACAAGCCCCAAGTCTCAGCCCCACCGTGCCGTGAGCCAGCAAGGAAACTCAGCCAATATCATCTCCATTTTTACGGAAGCCCAAGCTCCCAACTTCAGTCCTTCCTGAAGAGGAAAAGGACCGGAAATAAAACATACTAAACAAGAGGTCCAAAACAGAAGGGACTCTCACATCCCCATCCCTCCCACGCTCACACACCTGTAAAGCAGGTGTGATCACCAAGGGTCTGAGGGATGGAGAACCTCAGTGAGACCTTACGAGGCAGGGGCTGGCCTGGAAGGAAGAGGGTATCCAAGCTGGGCAGGAGAGGCCAGGGATTAGCGGGTGGGCACACGCTGCTGCCAGAGCTGACTGGTCCTCAGCCTCCTGGAAGGGAGGGGAGGGCATGCAGCCCACACGGTACAGCACCTGTGGTTTGAACCCAACTGTCCCCACTTCCTAAGATAACCAGGAGAGGCAGCCACATGGACACTGAGTCCCAGAGAGTACACCTCGGAAGGCCACAGGACGCGGCTCAGGGAAGACACAGGTGGGGCGGGAATCCCACTGTGGCTGCTGGATACCTTGAAACCAACAGAGTGAATCCCTCTAGCCAGGGCGCCTGGCACTAGCACCCATGAGAGGCCACCCGCTAAGACTGTCCTAGAGGGTGGCGGCTCCTCCACAGGGATCCTTGCTCAGGGAACCACCGGCCCGGAACTTGCCAGGTGAGCCTCAGGCCTCAGGGCCCCCCAGGGACTGACCAGAGTTACTGCTGTCCTCTGGGTGGCCTGAGGCTCCACAGGGACCCATGACCCCACCCTGACGCCCAGTTCCTGACTCCTCACCCCACAGAGCCGCTCATAACCCTCCTGACACCAGCCCTGCAGCCCTCCATCCCAGACCAGGCCAGGCAGGAGTGGAACCAGAGACCCAGCTGCGGCTTCAGGTCCTCCCCACAGTGAGGGCTATTAGCAGCCCTGGAGGCTCTCGACACTGCTCTGGGGCGGGGCTGGGGCCCTCCCATGCCACCCCCCCTGCCCGGTGCCAGTGGAGGCTTCCAGCCCTGTTTCTGGCTCCTGAAAGAGATGCTGGCTCTTGTTCCAGCACTCAGTGGAGGCAATAATGAGAAGGAAGTCTACTGGCAGGAACTGTCAAAATAGTTGTCTGTGGGCTTTGAAGAGAGCAATATGTAATCGGTCTGATGGACTGAAAATCACCCAAAAACTGCCACCTAGCGAGCTACCGTCTACAGAGTTCATTAAAGTCCATATTGTGCCAGGCTCGGTGGCTCAGCCTGTAATCCCGCGCCTTTGGGAGGCTGAGGTGAGTGGATTGCCA